CTTAAATACTTACATGTGCAATAACATTTGAGTTAATGTTCTGTCGTTTCATTAAAATGATTTGTGTTTATCTACAACACGCCCTACGAGAATAATTAAAAGCCAAAACAAGAAATGTGCATCTATATAGTTGAATATAATAGTACAGCATAGTTACCAAGACAGTGGTACCTCTTTGCTGATAGATTTGGACTGGTCTGTTTAAAGTTTGCTATATCTAAGGTTCAGCATGCTGAATTAATTGTGCAGAGATTCCTCCACTGAATTCAAACAGTACAGGCAGACAAATGGCATTGAGACACGTGTCCCGATCCTTGGGACTGTGTGATGAGGTTAACTGCGGGTCTCGACTCCGCGCGGGCTGGCGGTGATGAGGTGTGAACATGCCTTGTCCACACAGCACAGAGGCCCTCACAAAGCCACCTCCTCACCCAAGGCGAGAGGCAGTTCAGCCAGCTCACGGAGCAAGTTACATGCTTAAATAACTGCAAGTAATTTGATTATACCATCCATCCAGCTTAGCAGGGAGCCACCGCTGTACTTCCAGAGGAAGACAAAGCAAGCCAAACATGCAGAGAGAAGCACTGAGCCATTTTTATAGCTGCGCCCGAATGAATGATTAATGAGTTCTGTGCCGGGCCTGGCGGAGAGGCTCAGGTGATACACGAGCGGTTGCTCTCGCTGACGAGCTCTGACTGACAACTCACTGGGGTGGCGTCTCTGTCTCTGGGTTTTTGAGAGGATTGGTCAGACGAGCACTGACTCAGGGGCCTGTGTCTGTGTGTGTGTGTGTGTGTGTTTGTGTGGAGACAGGACCCAGGCTGTTATGTTATTGAAAAGGCGTCAGTGTTATCCAGAGATTATCCGTAGCTAGTGAGGAGGGTAAAAATCTTCGCCAGAAAGCTGGGTCTGTTGCCTCGGTTGTCATTCTGCAGGAACGGTTTTACTCACCCATGACCACTTACATTAAAGAGCTTTGGTTTCAACTTCTGATTAAATGTAGATTGCAAATAAGGCAGAAGTGTGGATCTCTGGTCAGCACCTTGCACCTGGACACCGCTATAATGGTAGCTGGCCTACACTCTCTTGGCTCCAGGTTAAGAGGGGAGCTGTTTGTCATAATACTGCAAATAGACAGTGGTGTGCTAGAATATAAGAAGCACATGAAGAGTGATAATGAGTTTTAATGAAAGAGCTAGATTGAAAGTATGACACCATTTAACATTGTAATGTGGGAAATGTAGTCCCATTTGAGTCACAATAAATGTTATTGCCATATTAATTTGGTACTGTCAGATTGTTTAGAAGGAAGAGAGGGGGAGAAGTGGATGTAGAAAGTGGTTTAGAGACTATCAGACTATCACAGGTAAAGGCTGTTGAGTACACTTTGTATGTTCACTCTGTACAGCTAAAACAAATGACTAAATAAATGGGATTTCCTTGTCTTGGGCAGATATAGTATCATTGGTTCCCTTTACCAATTTCCCTCCTAGTAACGCTACATTCAGCAATATGGGCAATCTTTGCGGTCTTCTTACATGGATTTATATACATGGTACAAGTGCCCAGAATCCCACTCCTCTCTCCCCTCCTTAGATCTACTACACAGGGAAGTACCAGAGCCTGGGCATCAAGCAGGGCGGGCCATCTGCAGGGAAGTGGGTGGAGCTGCCAGTCACCAAGTCGCCCAAGATCGTGCAGTTCTCCGTGGGGCACGACGGCTCACACGCGCTGCTGGTGGCTGAGGACGGCAGCGTGTTCTTCACGGGCTCCGCCAGCAAGGGCGAGGACGGGGAGTCAAGTACGCCTCTCTGTATTACAACTCTCAGCACAGACACAGTACCCAGTAGTCATAGCTAGTCTGACTAAGGCATTGAATCTCATGGAAACGTTGATGCGTCGTGACTGACATGCTGCCAGTGGCTATGGCTGTTGCCTTACTTTCACTTGCAAATGCAAGTGTTGAAAGTGTTCAATAGGTCTGGCCCCTAAGCCAGTAGACCTTCATATTCTCTTGTTGGCAAACTTTATTTGTGAGTTTGTTGCAGCCCCTAGTTCTTCTCCTGGAGAAGTTGTTAGATCACACCACTGCACCTTACAGTTCCTGAACCCCAAAGCAGCGGGAGACCTTGTAAGTGACCCTTCTGACGTGTTTTACCTTGGTAGCAAAGAGCAGGAGACAGCCAAAGCCCTACAAGCCCAAGAAGATGATCAAGCTGGAGACCAAGACGGCGGTGTACACGGCCTGCAACAACGGCAGCAGCAGCATCGTCACCAAGGACGGGGAGCTCTACATGTTCGGGAAGGACGCCGTTTACAGCGACAGCACCTGTGAGTGGGAGTGATCTGAGGGCAGACACATTAGCATGACATCATCCACATTGAAGCAGCACACTCCTCCTCCATGCATATCAATGACTCCAATGCTTTGAAGAAACGTTTCAAAACGACTTTGCTATTTTAGGAAAGCATTCTTATTTAGCTGTCAAGCCATGCTATAAAAATCAGAGTAACTGCTCTGTTGCATCTATAAAAATAGATCTTGACAAACAGAAAGATCTTTTTTGTGCGACGTGCGAGTGTTTTTCATCTTGAAGGCGTAGATGTTTTGGCACTCCAGCAGTTACTCAGCACAGACATTAAGATAAGTAGCTTCACATTCCCTACGGACCTGGCCAGGGCTCAGTTCTTTTATCACACCTGAATGCAAGATGCAAAGGGCACAACTAGCTTATTTCCATTTAGACTCTCAAGCAGATTGGACTCATACAGCGAAGTCATCTGCAATGAGTTCACATTACTCCATGCCTGCAAGTTAGGTCACACGCACAAACACTCACAAACACTCATGTCTTTAGCGTATCAGTCTAAAGCTGAACAGATATGGAATTATTCTGAATGCTCTGAATGCATCAGTGTTTTAAGTCCTGTGTTTTGAATTCTGAGTATTGGTGGAAAAGTGTCTCCAGTTCATTGTGATGATCCTTAGTCTGGCTTGCTTTAGGCAGTAGATGGTATTGGTGAGAGAATGCTAATGTCCCCCTTTTCCTCTGTGCCCCTCCAGGCCAGGTTACAGACCTGAAGGGTCACTTTGTAACTCAGGTAGCGATGGGGAAGGCCCACACCTGTGTCCTGACCAAAAGTGGAGAGGTGTGGACGTTTGGGGTGAACAACAAGGGCCAGTGCGGCAGAGACACAGGAGCCATGAGCCAGGCGGGGAAAGGTAAGCGCTTTGTTTGAACAGGATGCCCTGTGCAGCAGCACCTGTGTGTCGTGCAAGTGGCCACTGTTACGTCTATTCAAATGCAGATGGGTTGAAACTTGTGGGTGATGAGTGAATTCTGGGTAGACACTCAGGGCTGGGTACTGATTTTGAATTAGGATCCACCTGCTGTGTCCTGTTGGGGATTTTAGCTACTAAGTCCTGTGCTACTCTACAGTGAACACAGAACGGGTACATCTGAGGAGAGTCCTCCTGGGCCCCGTGCCCTAGATATTGTTAAGGCTTGAGAGGTTTTTTACTACAGTTGCTAATTCATAGAACATTTTTGTTGTTTTGTTGTTTGGGAGTGTTAGCATAAGGTTGTAATTTTGAATCTAGGGTGTGGTACTGATGTTGTGCCCTTGAGAAAGATACTTAACCTAAATTACTTTATGAAATATCCATATGTATACACAGTTGATTTGTAAAAAAATAAGCAATGTAAACCCGTAAACTGCCCTGGATGAGCATGTCTGCTGAATAAATAATGTTATGGGGTGTAATGTGTGCCTGCTGCAGGGTTTGGAGTGGAGAATATGGCCACGGCAATGGATGAGGACCTCGAGGAGGAGCTGGAGGACAAGGAGGAGAAGTCTCTGATGTGCCAGCCGGGGATGCACAAGTGGAAGCTGGACCAGTGCATGGTGTGCACTGTATGCGGGGACTGCACTGGCTACGGGGCCAGCTGTGTGAGCAGCGGCAGGCCTGACCGAGTTCCTGGAGGGTGAGCTGCACAATACATCCTTACACACTGCTGTTCTGCACCAAACTGTTACACAATGTATCCTTACACAGCGCATCTTCACACACTGCTGTTCTGCACCACAGTGTTACACAATACACCCTAACACACTGCATTTTTACACACCGTGCTGTTCTGCACCACATTCTTACACAGTACATCCTTACACACCGCATCTTTACACATTGCTGTTCTGTTACACAGTATATCCTTACACGCTGCCTCTTTACACAGCTTGGTGTTCTGCACCATATTGTTAGACAAAACATCCTTACACACTGCATCTTTATACACCATGGTGTTATACAACACACTGTTACACAGTACATCCTGACACACTGCCTTACTCAGTATATCTTTGCACAGCACTGTTACATGCTATACCTTATATGCTACATCCTTACACATCTGTGACACTTTTTTTACATTTACAACACAGTTTAACAGTGGAATATCATGCAGTAGGTACTGGCCAACACATAGTTAAACTGGCACAGAGGCCTTCTCTATCGTATGCTTTTGGAACAATGCAGTATATAAACTGTATTAGCTCTACCCTGTAAAAACTCCTGAGAATGTTTCTGTTCAAGGTTTGTTCAGTCTGGCAGCACTGCAGAAACAAAGTGTGATAACTGTTGAAGTGCCTGGAGTTGTGACTGCTGCCATAGCAGCCTAAAACAAATAGGCTTGGTATTGTGTATCATTAGAAGGCAGAAGAGGGCACATGACTGTATTTACCAGTTATCAAAGGTAAATATTTAAACAGCAATAGTGTAATGAAGTGATAGGCTTTCCTGTTTGCTTATTAAAATCTGTCTCTGCCCAGCCTGTGTAAATCTGTTAAAGATACCAGCCCAGCTTGTTCTCCTGGTAGCAAGCACTGCAAACCTGTCTGCAGTTTCAGAGAGTGCACAGTTTGAGTGTTTGTGTAATTGGAGTGTCACAGTCTGAGTGGAAGCTTCTGTGCAGTGTTGGAGTAAGCAGGGGTGGCAGAGCGTCAGTGTAGCATAGTGGTAAGGAGCAAGGCTCGTAACCGCAAGGTTGCTGGTTCGATTCCCTGCTGTGGCACTGCTGTTGTACCCTTGGGCAAGATAGTTAACCCAGAATTGCCTCAGTAAATATGCAGCTGTATAAATGGGTAACGTGTAAAAAAAAAAAGAAAATGTAACCTATGTAACTTGCTTTGGATAAGAGCATCTGCTAAATGCCAATAATGTAATGTAAGCATCAGTGCAATGTGAGCTGTTTGTGTATGTACAGCGTGAGAGGAAACATCTGCACAGCAGTAGATGCTGTGTCTGCACAGTGTGACTGCGCAGAATTAGAGGAAACGTCTGCGCAGCGTGTGAAGGAGCGTCTGCGCAGCGTTAGAGAGTGCCTGCATTGTGCTACAAGCTGACGTCGGTGCTGTGTCTGCTCCGTCTGCAGGATCTGCGGCTGCGGGTCGGGGGAGTCCGGCTGCTCCGCCTGCGGCTGCTGCAAGGCCTGCGCCCGGGAGCTGGACGGACAGGAGGCCAGACAGAGGGGCATCTTCGACGCCGTCAAGGAGATGATACCACTAGACCTGCTTTTAGGTAGAGACCTTCTCAAAAACTGCTCAGTGAGAAAACCGCCCCAGAGAAAGAGTTTGGTTGACTCTGCCAAGCATTTATAAATCTTTTTTGTTTGGCTTTTGAGTTTGTGTGTACTTGGTATGTCCAATTAAAAGCTTTCCCTGGAGCCTATTTTAGAATGCTTACTGACTTTTTTCCCCCAGAAAATTCACATTTATTACCTCATCCATCCATTTATATATACATGTTTAGCTGTAACGTAAACTTCTGATCATACTTCAGGTGGATTCCACGGCCTGTTTTTAATGCTTGAGTTTAATTTCATTGCCATATCACATCAGTTCCACACATCACATCAGAATTTCCATCCTCTATTCTGTCAGCCATTCCATGTCATAGCAGTACTAAGCTCATCAGTCTCTTCAGCCAGCCGCCAGAGTGATAACGCAGAGCGTTCACAAAGTCACATTTCCTGTTTGTCTCCGTGAACCCATTGCTCCATCCCTGTCACTCATCCTGTCTGTTCTGTTTGTCCCCTCTTTTGGCCCAAAAATCCTCCGACCGTTTTTATTTCAGCTGTGCCTGTCCCTCCCCCTCCAGGCGTGAACATTGAGGAGCACATCCAGATCCGGCAGGAGGAGAAACGGCAGCGGATCAACCGCCGGCACCGGCTTGAGGAGGGCCGAGGTACGGCCCCCGCGGCAGGGTCCTGAGGCCGAGTGGGGGGGGCTCTCTCAGGGGACAGCACTGTTTCAGCGACATTACCGCTGTTTCAGCGCTGTTACAGCACTGTCTCAGCACCACTGTTACTGTTACAGCAATATTGCATTTTCACAGAGGCTTAAACCTTCGCTGCTCTTCCGGTGGCAGGTGGTGCTGCTGTTTAACATCAGAGCGCTTTCAACATTTCTGAATAATCGGTCAATCGGGGAATTAGTCAGACTGCTGAAGCTGGCACTTTGATCTGTGTTATCGGGGCAGACCTGTTTTTTCATGGCTACGTGATTCAGTTGCTCCTTTTTCTGTTGGGCTGCATCCCTTCTTCACCCTGGGAATTCCTCTTTGTGTAGGCACAGAGCGGAGATTAGTCATATATTTTCACTGCTGATCACGCCACACATCTAAAAACAAAATAACACTGACTTCCATCATGAGACAGTGCTTCTGAATCCTCCTGATACTCACAGTTGTTCCTGTACTGCAGCACTTCCCTATTGGAAAAAAAAAAACTGAATTGAAGTTAATTGGCAGTGGATCAAATCGTCCAAGCATAACATCCAGCCCGTCAAATGTGTCAGATTGTTTTTGCTGTTTGTGTGGGTCGTACAGTACACGTTGCTGGGTGACTGTTTGATTTCCTCTGCTTGTGTATGTATTTATGATTTGCCCTGTGTGTGTTGACCGTGTTTTTTTCCCCCCACCCCATTTGTGAGCTTTGCCCATGCATGTGAAAGTGTCTTTCTCCCCCAGGCCCCCTTGTTTTTCCTGGCCCCATTTTTATGACCCAGCGAGAGCAGGCGCTAGCCAGACTAAGACCCCTTCAGGCCCAGCTAAAGCATAAACGGGACAAACACAAAGGTACTGCGGTCTTCGTTAACAGCTCCGAGGGGCGCAGAGCCGCCCCTCTCACCCTCCGGCCGTCCGTCTGTCCCGTCCTCTCGCTCTCTGCTCAGGATAAATTCACTCAGAGGAGAGATGGCTCTCTTGGGTTCATTAAAACCGAACGCATCCGTGGGGGGAGAGAGAGAGAGTAACGTCCATTGTGTTAATTCCTCCCCTGGTCTGACATGGCGCTCTTTGGATCACAACGTGCGCTGCATCTAGTGCTTTCGGTAAATAAAAATCAAAACATTAGTCAGGCTGGATTTATTGCGGCCCCCCCTTTGCTGTGAATTGATAGTGAGCATTGTACACAAGCAAAATACAAATGTGAAGAGTCTACATGAATGCTAGAGTTGGAGAGCACACACACACACATTACTGCTGAATAGCTACCTCGGTATTTTACCATCCTACACTTTTAGAAAGAGCAGGTTAGAAGGTCTGAGGTCTCAAAGAGCAGTGCATGATTTAGTCAGGAATTACCAGTCGTCACAGATTTAAACCCGGTAGTAAATAGTGAATGGTATCCTGTGGTTATATTGGGAAAAACGCAGTAGGATTATCGATTTTATTATATTTATCTCCCGGGTTCTATCACCAAATGATTAACTGCCCACTATGAGCTAGAGTGAATAGTTTCATACATGCTGAGGAACATTCATATTCATATGGACACAGACCTCTTGAGGCAGAAGAAGCTCCCTCAAATGAAGTCACACCTCCTGCAAATGCCAATATAACCACTGGTTACACCTGCAACATCTTCCCCAAGGAACTTTCCCTCCCTCTCGTTTCCCTTTACATGTGTGCTGGCACTGAAGGTGAGAAGAATGGAAAGTTGCCTCCTTGTGCATTCCAAGGCATGATGTTGTTTACAGTGGGTCACTGTGTGCTGTGTGGTTGTCTGCTGCTTCTCATACGCCAGCTTCTGTGGATGGTCACGCTCACCTCTGAAACACGGCTCCTGATTGGCTGTTCTCATAGCCGCTGTCCAGTAGGAAACTGAATCTAATACTGAGCATAGCGCAATGGGAACAAGTACGTTTTATGTGCGATAGCTGTGAAATGGCACCCATTTTCAGTTTCGCTCTCTGAAAGCTTTGAAATACACCCTCTTGTTCATCCGTTGCATGTGGAGCACCCTACAAAGAGTGTTAGTGTGGCCCTCCATTAACATTCTGCATATGCCTTCATATTTCCTCCCCAAAATTAATCAGCATGCTACTGCATTGGATGTGAGTGCTGTCCTTGCATTGTTGAGTTTATTGATGAAATGAGCTACATTGTTTGATGAAATGACTGCTGTTCATGAAAAAAGGTGTCTGTGACATTGTGTTTAGAAATCTCTGTAGCAAGACCCAGCTGCAGGCATTTCCAAACACAAGGTGTGCAATCTTTGTTCAGTCCAACCAGAAATAGACTACCTGCGACATGGGTGATGTAAATTATCCCCTTGCCTCCATGTTGAGACTTTGATTGAGCACATGAAATTCAAATCAAACTAGTTAGAATGTATAATTAGGCACTCCTGTGGAATGGTTTTTCCTGGGCAGTGTATGGCTCCAAGAGGCCATGACTTTTTTACTACACTATCACAAAGCAAATTACCAAGATAACTTGTCCAGCTGGAGGTAACCATCTTAATCATAAGTGGAGGCATATATGTGTTTTAATGCAGACAGGATGCTGCTCTTGGGCAGTTGAGTTAAGACTCTTCCTTTTCCGTGGAATGGGTTGTCATTTTCCATTGAGCTTACACTCCCTGCCCCAGCCTGTGCACAGAGCGCACTTCTCTCTCCAGGTGTCAAATGCTGGTTCCTGCCCTGAGGATACAGATGTGCCCACTTTCCTCCCTTTTTCTCCCACAATTCTCCCCTCTCCACTGCAGCCACTGCAGCTGTGTCTGACTCTGCTCTGCTTTGTAGATGGCAGCAGTGAGCGGGGGGACAAAGATGCCAGCAAGATCACCACCTACCCCCCCGGGGCGGTGCGCTTCGACTGTGAGCTGCGGGCCGTGCAGGTCAGCTGCGGATTCCACCACTCTGGTATGTCCCCTCCTTGCGTCCCGCGTCCCGCTCTGAGCATGGAGCGCTCCACTTAGGCGCTGCTAGACATCAAATTGGAAAAGAGCCCAAGCAAACCAAAACTAAATGAATGGACCCCTTCAAAAGATCAGTCAGTTTGACCGAGTGAAGAGTCTCCTTGAAAAACATTCTCCATCGTGATCACAAGTGATCTGAGGTCTGTGAAAACACTAAGGTCAGCCTCAAAATAAAAAAAAAAACCTAATTCTTAAATTCCTTGTGGTCATTTGTATTTTTCCAAATATGAGCAACAAAAATGTTTTCTTGCAGTGAGATGAAGCCCAAGCCCAGTTTAAAAGAGCCTTGCATAAAAAAGTCTTCTCATTCCCATGGCCGCGGACACAGAGCAGTCATCATTGTTTCCGTAAACAGTGATGGAGTGATGATAAGCCTGAAATATTTGATACGTGAGTAATTCCGTGTGGGCTGGTGTGAATCATTGGTCCCATCCTCTGTTGTGCAGTGGTGCTGATGGAGAATGGAGATGTCTACACCTTTGGCTACGGGCAACACGGCCAGCTGGGGCATGGAGATGTCAACTCCAGGTACGCAGGCAGTCACATGGACTCAGATACACATACACACAAACACACACAAATGCATTCTGGCTGACTTCTCTTCCTCTGGATCAGACAGTCTGACTCTTTCATTTGTTTGTTTCCCACAGGGGGTCTCCTACTCTAGTGCAGGCTCTGCCAGGGCCCAGCATCCAGGTGACAGCAGGGAGTAACCACACTGCAGTGCTGCTGATCGACGGGCAGGTGTTCACCTTCGGGAGTTTCTCGGTACGGAAAACCCCTCCTCACCAGGGGAATTCCTTCAAATTTCC